CCCCTCTCCTTCTCCTCCTCCTCCCAGCAACGCATGTGGTCTGCATTGGAAGTCGCATGGGAGGCACCGCGATCCGAATGCCAAGACTCCGCGGCGGTCGTCGGGCAAGCCGCGCCAGCCCAAGAAGAAGAAGAAGAAGGGCTCGGCAAGGGCAAAGGCTAAGCGCGAGGCCCGGGCGCTAGGCGTGGGGGGCGATGGACTGATGTCGACTCGGCTGCGGACGCGCAAGGCCACATCGGCTGCCGTCTCGGCCGCCGCACAGGGCACCATCCGCTTTGTCAATCCGCCCGGCGACGCTCTCTCCAACATGCTCGCCGAGTGCAAGCGGGCGACGAGTCGCGGCGGAGCGTACTCGCTGCTGGAGCTGCGGCTGCCGGCCGAGGCGCAGGACGCGCTGCGCCGCAGGATGGCTGCTGAGAGCGAGGACGAGGGCAAGCACCCGGCCGCCGTCGCCCACGCCCTCGGCCTCTCCATCGGCACCACCTCGGCGTCGACCGTCACCCCGCCGTTGCTGGTCGACTCGTCGTCATGCCTCAACTTTCGCTCGCGCAAACCGCATCGTCCGCGGCGTGCGCCGTCGGTTGCGCCCGAGGTGAGCCAGGCCTTGGCCAATCCGCCGGCGGTCGTCGTCTCGAACGACGGCCTCGCCCTGGCACCGGGCGACGTCATCGCCTTTCACGCCTCGCTCCGCGGTGAGAGCAACGACATCCCGACGACGCCGGCCGCGCCGGCCGAGTACTTTGCCGTCATCCGCCGCGTTGACGCTGAGCTCGCCCCAGACACGCCACTTGTCTACGTCTCGTGGCTGCTCCCGGCGTCGCCGGCGCTCAACCTCGGCGCCGTCGCCGTCCTGCAGCCGTCCCACTTTAAGGTCGGTCCGCTCGAGCCGCAGCCGCAGCCTGTCGAGGCCATCCGGCGCAAGCTCGGCTTTAAGCTCGCCGTCTCGGCTGGCACCGACCTGTACTGGCAGTCGGTGCTCGACTCGGGCGCGCTGCCGCTGCCGCCGCTGGCGGCGCAAGACGCGGCCCACAGCGTGCTTGTCGACCGCGCTTCGGCGTACTTTGCCGCCAAGGCCCGCGAGGCAAATCGCCCGTCCGAGCTCTGGCCCTGGTTCCAGGACCACCCCAAGAACGTCAAGAAGCGCAAGCGTCGCGCCTTCTACGCCTCGCTCATCAAGCGCTCCAAGTTCCTCGACTCGCACCCGCCGGTCGTCATCTCGGGCGAGCAGGACGCCGAGCTCGCCGCCAACATCACCTACACCGAGTACACCAAGCCCACGCCCGACGTCTCGTTCAAGGCCGCCCGTAAGGTGGTCGCCGATACCGATCGCGCCGCCGTCCGGCAGTTTTACCACTACGACGCCCACGCCCGTCCACTGCAGGAGGGCGTCCAGCTCGAGGTCCACGACGCCGCCGCCGCGCTCGCGCTCCGCCGCATGGTGGCTCCACCGCCGCCGCCTGCTCCGGCCACTCCGGCTGCCGCGCCGCCGCCTGCTCAGTAGCGATCTGGGTTTACGCAAGGCTGGTGAAGAGCTTGTTGAGCGCGTCGGCTTCGGGCAGGCCGAGCTCGCTGAGCGAAGCCGGCGGAGCGGCGGCGGCGGACGCCCATGCCGCCTCGGCCTTGGCAAAGCGGGCGATGGCGTCGGGCTCAGCGCCATCGGCTCCAAGCATCTCGTCGTCGTCGGAGTCAGACGACGAGCTCGACGAGCTTGACGACGAGCTGGCGGTGGCCATGGCGGCGACGCCATCGTCGCCCGACGTTGCACCGGCCTCGTCGTCATCGGCCTCGTCGTCCGACTCGTCCGAGCTCGTCGAGCTCGACGACGGGTAGTCGTCCGACTCGTACGCGGTCGAGCCGTCCTGAACCGCGAGCGGGCCGGCAGCGTCGCGGAGCGAGCGCGGGAGGACGGCAGACATAAAGGCGTCAAAAACGTTGGAGACGGCCGGCATGACGTGGACAGGCGCGAGGAACAGCGAGTCGAGCGCCGGGTTGTGGGCCTCGAACAGCGCCGAGGCCTCGACGTCAGCCGACACTGCATCATCGTTGTCTGCGGCGGTGAAGAGCGCCGAGAGCCGCGACGCAGCCTTGGAGTTGTGCTTGCCCTCGGAGAACGCCGCAGTGGCGTCCGAGGCCGAGTGGATGTGGCGGGTGGTAAAGCCGACGAGCTTGGCGGCGACCTCGTCGACGAGCACAAACTCGGACTCGGCGTTGAGGAGAATGAGCCGGAGCGCAGGGTCGGCGCCCGACGGCGGGAGGTAGGCCAGGCCGAGCGCGTCCTCGCCGTCGATGGGCACAATGGCGCGCGGAACGGCCGAGTCGGCCCCAAAGACGAGCACACTCGGCGAGGCCCCGCTGCCGGCCACCAGCGCAAACCGCGCGTCGGCCGCGCCGTTGCCCGTCGGCGCTACGCACAGGTGCGAGCCCTTGATCGCGAGCGACCAGACAACAGACCGCGTCAGCAACGACCAGACAAAGACCCGGACGCCGGTGAGCGCCACAAGGTACGGGGTGTGCGGGAGAAAGGCGAGGGCGGTGAGCGGCTCGGTCGGGAACGAAAGCGTCGCCATGAGCGTGTTCGAGAGTGGGTCCCAGAGGGTGATGGCCGGCCCGTGCGCCACGGCGAGGACCGAGCCGTCCGAGGCAAAGGCGAGCGCCGAGGCCGATGCGTCGCGGAACTTGGACATCGACCGCATGCGCCAGCGGAGGGCCGCCAACTTGGAGCCCATCGTCGTCGCCGTCTCCTCCTCAAACGCTTCCCACAGCTTGACCGAGCCGTCGGCCGACGCCGTGGCCACAAGCGGGAGGAACGGGTGCACCGCGAGCGCCGAGACCGTTGCCTTGTGCGGCGCATTGATTTGCGTCACAAGCTCAAAGTCGAGGCCCGAGAGCGCGCGGTAGAACTTGAGCGTCGACTGGTTCGAGACCTTGGGGTGCGTCACCTCGGATGTCACCATCCACTGGCACGTGAGCGGGACAAGGTCGGGGGCGAGCGTGCGGGCCGTCGCCGGCGCCTCGGCGGGGTCTGGCGTAAACGCGACGTGCGAGATGAACGGCACGTACTGGTGCTTGGCCGCCTTCTTGGCCGCCTTCTTGGCTGCCTTGCCCTTGCCCTTGCCTCCGAGTAGCGCGTGCGCCGACGACACGTACGAGTACGACTCAATGATCTCCATCTCGGCCACCGAGACGTCGAGGACCGGGTCAAAGAACTGCAGCGTCGACGGCGAGCCGTTGACCACCACCAGCGAGGTCACCGGCTCGAGCGCCAGGCCAACGCCCGGCTGCATGACCTCAGCCGAGGCCTTGAGGCCCGAGACCTGGTACGCCAGCCGGCGCGAGCGGGCGTCGATGACCCGGATAGCGTTGTCGTCGCAGAGGAGGGCCACATGGGTGGCCTTGGGCGAGACAGCAACGGCCGCCAGAGGCGCGCCGAGCCGGGAGATGAACTCGCGCTTGCCTGATCCGACATGCCAGGTCACGAGCACAGCCTCCATGCCACCCGAGAGAAGATAGCCCGACGGCGCGTAGCCGAGGCAGAGCACGTTGTTCGAGTGCCAGTGGTGGCGGGTCATGTGTGGCATGGGGTCGTCGCCGCGGTACTGGACAACGTCGACAAGGATGGACTCAAGGTAGCCGGGTGCAAACATGTACCACACGTACACAATGCCTGTGGCGTCGCCGGTCGCCACGTGATCCTCCTTGGGCGAGATGTCCACAGAGGTGAACAGAGCCCGCGCCCGGCAGAGCTTGTGCAGCTTGCCGGTCGGCATCGTGTAAATGTACAGGATCGACGAGCCGACCGCTGCAATCCACATGCCCGATGCAGAAATGGCAATGTCGGCAGCCGCAGCCATCTCAAACAGCACGTTCCCGGTCTCGGCGTCGGCGTCGGCGACAGCACGGGTGGCAGCGGCGGTGGTGCTGTCGTCGTCGGCGGCAGCGTTGACCGAGCCTGTAAACGAACAGATCCGGATCTGCGTGGCCGGCGGCGGGTCGTCGGGCATGCCGCCACGACGCGAGCCCTTGGCCTTGGTCTTGCCGCGCGGGCAGATGCCGCGGGCGATGTTGTGGGCGTGGAGGGCGGCGAGGCGCGGGGCCTCGTTGAAAGAGACGGCGGCGAGGAACGAGCCGTGCGGGAGGGCCGACGATGTGGCGATGTGGGTCACCGGGGCACCTGCGTAGAAGACGTCCAGCACAACACCGTCGACGTAGTCCCACAGAGTCACCGACCCGTCGTACGCGGCAGCCAACAGCTGGTACGGGTTGCCCGGGTTGAGGGCCAGGGCCGAGAGCGACGCGCCCTCCTCGCCATCGGCCGCCGGGCGATGCAGCACACGCACCAGCGACCCGTTGAGCGAGTACACCTTGACCATGGACGAGGCGCATGTGAACAGCAGTCTGCAGGCGGGTGGCGCGGTGGGTGGGTGGCGCGGTGGGTGGGTGGCGCGGTGGGTGGGTGGGGCGGTGAGTGGCACGGCGGATGGATGGGGAGATGGGACGACAACTGGGTCGCACACACGATAAGTGGGGGGAGGGGAGGACGATTGGCCCGGCGGATGGATGAGAAATTTGCGACATGCGGGGGGGGGAGGGGGGAGTGGGGGAGGGACAGGGGCAGGGAGGGGGGGAGGCTGTGGTGGTACGTACTTGCCGTCCTGGGAGAAGAGGACCGAGCGCTGGAGGCGGCCTCCGGAGCGGTGGCTGGCCATGGTCGCGTCGAGTGTGGGTGGCTGGTTGGTAGGGGGGTGGTGGGGTGGAGTGAGGGGTCGGGTTGGAGGTAGAGTGATCGGTGGCGGCGGGCGGCGGGCGGCGGGCGGCGGGCGGCGGCGGACCACCGGCATGGGATTGGGATGTTAGGGTGAGCTGGGTTGGGGCTGGGGTTGCGGTTGAAGTAGGATGCACTGCGGTTTTACGGAGAAGGGATTGGTGTGGGCAAGTGGCGGGGATCGGGGACTAGACGCGCTGCACCTCGCAGGCGCGGATGAGACGGAGCGCCTCGTCGCGATGGAGGTCAGAGATGCGAAAGCGGAGACCTGACGACGGTGGGACGATGTTGGGATTCCACCACGACCAAGGCGAGGGCCCCAGCACTTCGCGCAGGTTCCCGACCACGCCGTGGTCGTAGCGGTGGAAGCGCGGCGGGGTGAGATGCGGGAAGCGGCGGCGGAGTCGGCGGAGGCGACCCGGGCGCTCACCCATGCGGGCCTTGGCCTCGATGGTGGTGGCGTTGGAGGCGGCAAGATGAAGGTGCGAGCCGGTGAGGAGGGCGGCAAAACAGACGGTGAAGATGCTGAGGGCAGTGTGGCCCATGACGGCGGCCATTTCCAGTGGATACGCCTCGTTGTAGGCTCCCAGCGAGCCGATACACGAGCCGAGAAAGGTCCAGAGCGAGATGCAGTTGTAGGCCGAGGTGATGAAGAAGTAAAGACAGGTGAGGAGGAAGGCCTTGTAGTTGCCGTGCCCGACGCAGGTGCCCAGCCACGGGCAGTGGTGGTCCATCCGCAGCACACACGCCCGACACCGCTTGCAATGGTGGGCCCGCGGCGGCTTGTACTTGCCGCACGGCCCGCAGAACTCGGTGTCCGGGCCGACCTCATCGTATGATCCGTCCCAGTCGTGAAAGTACTCGATCGCCTCCTCCGCCGCCGCCGTCCCGGCCACCGGCTTGTCGTGCCTGAGCGAGCCGCGGCTCTTCTCTGCCGCCACCGCCAGCGCCGGAGGCACCGGCCCAGGCGGCAGCGTCGCCGCCCGCACATACGCGTTGAGCGCGAGCCCGTACAGCACGCTAATGATCACCACGTGCGACCCATAGCCCGACGGCGCTTCCTCGGGAGGCGCCGATGCGCGCCGGACCACAGGCCGGGCTGCGTCCTCGTTGTCGGCCACGCCAGCGCCGGCATGTACAGCATCTGGCGCTGCACGCACGGTCTCAGCAAGTGCGCCATTCACCGCACCGCCAGCACCAGCTGACGGCGGCGTGCGCAAGCCGCTTGCGGTGTCCGGAACAAGGACCGAGGCGCCCGTGGCGCACCCGCCGTAGAGCCGCGGCGAGACAAACAGCTCCGAGACGCAGAAGGAGAAGACCACCAGGCCGACCATTGTCACCACCACGGGATGCATCGTGGACGGGGTGGGTGGGGTGGGGGTGGGGTGGGGGTGGGGGCAGGGGGGGGGGGGGGGGGGAGGGGGAGGGGGGAGGGGGAGGGAGGG